CACAAATATCTATATATGATCCAAATGGTTATATTTGGATATAGAATCAACATAAGAACAACTTAGTTACCTGCAAGAATTGAACGGGCTGAGGAATTCCAAGTTTTTTGCAGACGTCATAGCTGATAAAAGAATTCTAAGCACACAAATGCAGCACAACATGAATGGAGCAGTTCAGTAAACAAGTACATTCAAACAAGCCTATAAAGACAGTTATCTAGCTCAACCAATGTCATAATGCTATTATTACTAGGTGAAATGTTGGCATCTTAAGCAAAAGAGAAAAACGATAGAAGAGAGAGTTCATACTTGTGAAAAGAATGAATCCACAGATTCCTTTTAGCAACAACAAATACCCATCATGTGACATAAAACACAATAAACAACTTCAAATAATTAATATGGAACTAAGGTTAATGGCATCAATGCATATGCCACAACTGTTGACTACTAGTACTGCCACTGCCCCCTATAGACACTAACAGTAAAAGGTTTATAGAGTTATAAATTAGAGGTGAGTATAGCAAAAGAATTTGGAAGTTATCCCAATTTTTGTCAATCAAACAATTAAACAATAATGTGTAACAAGAAGTGAACAACTCCAAATGCCTAAATCAAATATGAAAACCATAAAATTCAGGCATCAATTAAAGAAATATCCAATCTATGTCAAATCATGTCACTCACAGCTGGTGTCCAATGCACTCCAGCACGTACAGACCCTGAAATTTCACCTCCCTTCACAAGTCCATTAAACAAAGACTGGAAGAAAGATCCATCAACAGCCACACCACTGGCTCCATCCATTTCTTGCAGTAAATTCTGCAACGAGCTCCATAACACTGTCAAATTTGTCGGAACTGTAATGCCCCTAGCAGCACCTCGAACCATGGCACTAACACGAGCCACATAGGCAGGAGTATACAACTGCCCACCTTCAAGCCTTCCTTTAACCTATTCTCAAAACAATCATTTATCAAATCACAATTTCCACTTACCACTCCAAAAACATACCAAAACCAACACAAAACAAAACAAACAAACAAACAAACAAACAAACAAAACTCACTATAGTTCCAAGACGCGGCTCCAACACAGACGCAATCAAATCCAAACCAACATTCAATTGCGCAGCAAGTTCCGTTAAAGCAATCTGACTACATTCTTGAAGCCTCTCGTTAATCTCTTCCGCAATCGAGTCCCAGTAAGATTCCGTAACGATTTCCCCTTGAGTCAACATCAATTCCCCGTGATCAGTTATAATACTCTGAGCCAATTTCTCAACATAGTACAAGTCAACTCCAGTAACATCAGCAAGATCAATCACAGAAGTTCGCCCTAATCTCTTCACCTCAGTCACCATCTCATTTCTCAGTTGATCCTATCGACCGTATAAACAAACACTTGATTAAGATCAATTATAACACAATGAATTAGGTTAAAAGCAAGAAAATACAATCGATTATCAAGAATCAAATCCGTTAAACCTAATTGCAAAAAATAATAAAAGACGAAGCAAAGAGCGTACGAGAGTGATGTACTCTTTTTGCCGGAAGCAGTGTGAAGAAGCTCGAAATCGATGACTTGAAGTTGCTGTAATTTTTGGACTAATTTAACGACGTTTCGATCGGATAATCGAATACTGGACTTCGCTTGTTGAGCGAACTCGAACTGTCTCTGCAACTCGAGCAATTCTTCGTCCATGTTTCGATCTTCACGGAAGCGGTGAAATTTGCAATGCCTTTAACTTTTGATCTTTCGCGATTTCTAATACTGTTGCGTGTTTTGATGATCCCTGAAAATGATGCGTCGTTCTTCTGTTTTTGGGACTATAGTGAAATAGCGAAGCGTTTTTCAGCCGTTTCTTCGCCCTTGATTGTTTCTTGCTCAATAAACAGTTAAATTTCTGAAAAGTATGTCATTTTTTTTATTTTTTTTATTAAAATTGGTTTTTTATACATTTTTTAACCATGTTTTACCTTGTTGATATAACTTGTTGAAAAGATATTTTTGTAGAAAACAACGTCAAATCAAAAATTATTAGTTTTTTTACTTTTAAAAATATCTTTCACAAAAATATATTTGATTTTTATGTTAAAATTTATAACAAGAAACCACACACGCACACATTCTTTCAAGTATGAGTAGTGTAAGGGTGAAATATTTTCATAAGATATATCAAGAAATTAGACATGTATTTGACTTTTTAAACATGACTTGGGTAAGGGTGAAGTGTTTTCAGCGAAGTGATTTCATAAGGCATATTAATAAATCAATGTACACGACGCCCCAAGCATGAGCCATGTAAGGGTGGAGTGTTTTCATAAAGTATGTCAAGAAACTTAACATGTACACGGTCTCCCAAAGATGAGTTGTATAATTGGAAAGGGCTTTCATAAGTATATCAAGAAATCAAGCATATATATAACCACTCAAAGATGAGTAGTGTATGAGCGAAGTGCTTTCATGAGTGAAATTTTGTTATTCGTATGAAAGATGTTAGACACAATGTTTGTGACGATGTGTATAACATTCTTATAACAGATTAATAGATACTAAATAAATCATAAAGCAATAAAGAACACAAAGAATTATTATTAACTTAGTTCGGTGCAACGTCACCTATATTTGGGGGGACTTCTAACCCAAGAAAGGAAATTCACTCTCAATAGTATTAGTATAAATAGTCTTAGATTAACAACCTTTGTTAATGTCTCTCTTCTTAATACTACATGTGACTTTCTATTTAAGACTCCTCCTAAATATGAGAACCTCTCTCATTTTCTCTCAATCACTAACTTTGGTGATCAGTACGTAAAACGAATTTAAAGAATGTTGAATTATGTTCTGGACTGACCCGACATCTGGAATGGACTCAGTCTAACCCTTTCTTTCGGTAAGGCCTGCGCGTCCATGGCCCGAACCGCCCCGCTCCCCGTCAGGAAATATCGATCATTTACCCTCCTGAGCCAGCACTGGCCTAGGATGATCGATGAGTACCCCTCAGTCTGCCCGACATCAAGTCGTACAGGTCACTAGGAACCGCCCAGAGAGATGCCTGTAACTTGCCTCCTCCTCAGAACCAACGACTAGTTACGAGCATATCTTCTCGGTTTGACCAAGTCCTGACAGTTACCTGATTTTGTGAACCCACATATCCAAGCGCAAAAACAGGAACCAATAGTCATACGCTAGGGGTATATTATATGCTCTCACACTTGTGAGGGTGTTGGCTGAAGATTTTGATAATGTTATTTAGAATTCAAAAGAGTTAAAAGTTCTGATCGAAATGGAATTAAACGCCATATTTCGAAGTTGCAGAAGCAGTGTTTCGAATAAGTGTGTCAAAGCTT